CAAAGTCTGAGATTTCAGCATTGAAATTGCCGATGAAGAGGCATAATCTGCACTTGAACCGAATTCGGAATTGCAAAATTGATTTGCCAACTTTCATGTGAGCTTGAAATGCATTTTCATTGAGCTGAAATTCCAAAAATACATTTCTATGTTCGGTTGGGAATAAAAATAAAAAAAAACACATTCCCTGGAAAAGTGAATTTGTGACTTTTCACTTTGGATCTTCGGCCGCAATGGAAACAAACGTGTTTTCTTTCCCTCAATCGCTGTGGCAGTCACCTTCGCTGGTATTTTTTTTACTGGGAGTTCGTGGCTACTTGGCAGGTGAAATTCAGTGCTTTGGTTTTTGGTTTTGTGTATGTGTGGGTTGCCGTTGTCTATCGCGATCTCTGCGGATCCAATCCGATTGTGCTCCACCGCCAATGATGATTATATAAAGCAAGGAAAAAAAAAAACAAGCAAAAGCATTTCAGCAGGCTCTCTGTATTTGGCCATGGCCAATGGGGGAGTGCATTGGCGCCTCAAGGTCATTGAAATTCACTCAGCCTCCCTTGCATTACTGCCAATTGGATTTCCCATTGGCCAAGTAAGAGCTTTTTTGATTGAGTGCCAAAGAGGTCGGAAAATTCATTCATTGAGGCCTTCGGGGGCACTTTCCTTGCGCTTTTCCTTGTGGGAAACATCTGTAAAATATTCACATGAGGAAGAGCCCAAAATTGATTGCGGTTGCGGTGGGCATTTTGAATTAATAGACGGCTTTTGTTCACCGAAATTCACTATTCCGAATGATCTTTCTTTATGAAGACGGTTCCTTATTTACTCTAATAGGGTTGTATAATTTTGAAGCCATTTTACAGTTTAGAAAGGACTTTAAAAATCAACACAAATTCTCTTTTTGTTTGAAACTTTTTTCTTTATACGCTTAAAAATATTTCATTTTAAAACTTAAAATCAAGATCAAAATATTCCCAATCTATTTTCCTTAACCCCTTTCCTAAACTAAAACCAAAAACTTTCTTTCCTGCTCTCTGCCAACGCTAAGATTTCCTGAAAGAAAGCAAAGAAAACAAAAATCAACTGATACGGGCAGACGCATGTAATGGTGATGGCGACAGGTGTAAAAATTGCTTTCTGCATAATTGCTTAAAATAAACATATAAAAGGAGTATGAACTTGGTAAAAGTCGCCGGCAATGACAATAAAAGGAAAGGTTGGAAAAGCAGACAGGAAAAAACAAAGAAAAAACACAAACAGAAGTGAAAATGATTTTTGCGAAAAATCTCACGTACGAATCAATTTTTAAACGACGCTGTGCGATTGTTCTTTTATGCAACAGGCCAACGGGAAACGGAAGTGGCATGAGGGTTGTGTGAGGGAGGAGAGCAAAGGGATAGGGGGGTGCTTGGCCAGGTGTGGAACAGGTGGAGTTGGGCCAAAAGATCATTACAAGTCAAAGAAGTGCCTCGCATTTGGCTTGATTGTTGTGTGAAACTTGGCGCTGAATACGAAATGAGTTGGGGAAAAACAGAAGGTTTATTAAGGAAAAGAATGATATTGCTGGCAAGTGTTCTATTTTTCGAAAGTTATATAATCTTTATAAATATTTTCAAACGTTTTTAATAGAATTTTTCAACTTTTCTTGCAGAAAAGTTGATTACAAATTATTTTAGTAGAAAATCAGAATTTTCAGCTTATTATCCATATATGTAGGTCTCTCCAGTAGCCTAGATCTTAACCCCTTCCTAAAAACTAGCCTAGTGAAGAACCCCATGAAACTTTCCACATCTCACCTTGGCCCCATGCCCAGAAAAGTGTTAAGCGTATCCAAAAAGATTTTCACTGCACCAAATACGATTTTCTATTTAATTCTTCTTTCACTTCTGCTGGCCTTAATTTCCACCAACCCCCCTCCCAACCCACTACTTGTTTGCAATGGTCCGTTGGCTTAATTAAGCCGAGGTCACTCTTCTGCGGCTATATCCAATGCGGAAGACAAGAATTGCCTTCGATTTAACCGAACATATTGCATAAGGTATCAGGATGAGGGAGATCTTGACATGGTTGTTCCCAGTTTTCCCAGCGCTGTCGGAGGTTGATTAAAATCAACATTAAGACTCTTTTTCCAGCTGTTTTGCATCGTCGCACTTATGCAATTATAACTGTAGGCAGGCCCAAGACAATGCCACAATTGCAATTTGTTCAATTGTCAGTGTGTTTGCCAGAGATGTGGGGAAGAAATCTGTTTTTGGGTTTTTTTTCTCTGCTTTTTTGGGTTAAAACATGCACAAGGGGAGTATCTGCGGTGACGACATCACTTGAAGTTGCCCAAGCAAAATGTTTAGGATTTGGTAATCCCGCCAATTGAATATCTCCTCAGTCTTGATATATATATATATTTGGTATGTCTTGGCTATATTGATGAAGGCGTTGACTGGAAACAGCCACCTACAAGGCCTCGCATAAACAAAAGCCTGCCACCAGGTGTCTGTCTGCCTAATAGAATGCATAAATATAAGAAAAATGGAATACAAATGAAGTTGAAGTCAGCAGGCAGGAACTAATAAAAGCAAATTTTGCAGGAAGAGGCTTTACCATTTGGTTTTATTGAATTTTTTTTTGATTTCCTTTACATTTTCTTGGTAAAAATTTCCAATTAAATTGAATAAACTAAAAGATTTAGATGCTTGCATTATTCCTCTTATTTTTTGACCATTTAAAACCAACAAAATTGGACTCTTAAAACTCAAATTAAACTATGACTAAGTCAACCAAAATCTCTTCTTCATTTCTGACCAATTAACCCTCCCCCTTATGGACTTACCACATCTATCCTATCACAACAATTTCGAACACATTTGGGTTAAACGTTTTCGTAAATGCCTTCGAGTATTTAATTCCGTTTTTACTTCGGTCTACTTTAAGGCGCATTTGCATTAATTATGATAATTGCAACGTTTATGTGTGGGTCGCTTTGTCTTTGTCTTTGTCTTTAGGATTTTCGATGCTTTTCTGGGTCAACGTCACATTTGGGTTAAAAATTGATTTTCGTTTATATACTCATATATATATATATCTATATATATTTTTGTGTATTTTCCTTCCATATCGCATTCGGCTCGGCTTTATGCTTTTTATGTTGTGCCGGGCCTCGACTTTTGGTCGGGTCTTAAAGGTGGGCGTCCAAAGGTGCCAGCAAAATTGTTTAATCGATAAGACGACCCTAGCAGGTGGCGAATGGAATGGCACGAACTGCTAGACAAAACCCATTTTATGGATAGTGGGTGTAGAAACGGTTTTTCTTTGCCGGTTATTTTCAGTTGATGGATCGATCGGTGATTGCTCGGAATTTTCAAAATATTTCTAAGCGCTTTTTTGTGCTATTTTTGAAGGAAAAAATATTATTTATAAACATTGATTTTTAGATAGAAAATAAAACTTCAAAGTTTTAGTTTGGATTTCTTTCTGGTTATGCACTTTTTTACAGGTTTCACATCCCCTGACTTGACATTAAAACAATTCTAACGTTGACTTTACATTCACCTCATTTCCATAGCCATTATCTCAACTTTTGCTATTCCAAATCTAATAATAATTCGTTCTTTATTTACCTTTACTTCCAGGTAAGCAAAACAATGGTTAAAAACTAAACTACCTCGAGCACTCTTATCTTACCAATTCCACTTGGTAAGTGTTAAAACGAACCCACAAAAGTGTTTCTTGTTGTCTGCCTTTTATCTAAGCTGAAAAATCTCCCGAAGAATTGGCCATAATGGGAATTTATGTTCCCACACATACACACACTCAAGCTTGGAAAAAGAGGCGCCACTGTTTCTGAAGGCGTGGCAGTGGGAGCAGAAATCCTACGCTTTCCATTACGTCATTTTGGCTTTTCGTTCGTTTTTTTTTTATTTTTTGCACAAGGTTGTCCAAGGCAAACGGGGCGTTACATTAATGGTTAACTAGTCAAAACGTATCGAATCGAAATCGGTTTCGAGTTCGAGTTCAGTTGAGGCTGCACTTGTCTTGGCCAACTATGGTCTGTATCTTATCTGGTCTTCGCTATTTGGCCGCACAACAATTTATTATAAATAATGAGACAGTGGAGACTTGAGTTAACAATTTCGGCCTACGTGCAAATTGCCTTCTTTCACGTACTTCTTTCGCGCAAAATCATCTTGAACTTTTGGCATTTTGTGATGGGATAAGCTAAAGATTTATTAAAGTAGTTCGGGTTGATTTTTCACTGCGGTTTTGGAAGAAGAAAATGGGTTGAAAATATAAAGATTATCATTGGGGAAGACTTTAGGAGGTTTTTGACTTACTTTAACCAACTTTGTTTTGCAACTTCCTTGGTTACTAGCCATTCTTATCGTACACCACCCTTCTTTGGCTGTATATCTACCCAGCAAGCAATCGGTTGCCTTGGCAACTAACTAAAGGCCCGGCTATAATGTATACACAAAATAAGCCAAACAAATTCAAGCGGTTTTAAGGAGTGCTATGCTGCGTTCGTATTAAAAACAAACAAAAGAATGAATTCAAATTGCAATAGCAACTTCGTTGAAACTTAAATAATTCTCACAGCAAAACTTCTGTTTGCCTTGCCACATAAATATTGACCATATTTTTGCCTAATTAAACAAACACACACTCATCGGTTGGGGCTATATAAAGTTGGTATACAACTGCAAATGAAATGTAAATAGTGCTGGCTTTAAATGTTTCTCGATCTGCGGGTCTTGCGTTGATTAAAGAGTCGGTTAAACAAATTAGAAAAGTAAATAAAGATTGCATTGTTATGAAGTGTGAAAGGTAGAAGTGGGTGTATGGGATCGGGGGTTGTAGAGTATAAGGTTATTAAAGGTGTTTAAACTAGAAGTAGAAGTTGGTTAAGAGGGATTGTTCTATAAGGAACTTGTATTCATGCAGCAGGCTGGTTTCTATTCCTTAAAAATAGGCTGTAGAAGGCTTTATAAAGTAAAGTAGGCCTTGACTTAAGTTTCAACCATCTTTCAGTCAAGATTCCTAGCTAGCTTACCAACTACCTCAGTTCAGTTCTAACTGTTCGTCTGTAAGGTTCTCGTGGAATTTTGTTTTATTTTTCTCATCATCCTTTCTTCAAAAACTTATCCGGTAAATATATTTATTTATTGTCTTTGTTTTCGGACAAGACAAAGTTAGTTTATAAATCCTAATAGAAATGGCTTTTCTACGTAAATTTTCGGCATCTGCAAAGATGACTTTGCCGCGTGTTTATTTCGACATAGCCGCTGGCAATGAGAAAATCGGACGAATTGTGATGGAACTACGTTCGGATGTGGTGCCCAAGACGGCGGAGAATTTCCGTGCCCTTTGCACTGGAGAGAAGGGCTACGGCTATAAGGGATCCCCGTTCCATCGTGTCATTCCGAATTTCATGTGCCAGGGCGGGGATTTCACCAATCAGAATGGAACTGGAGGACGCTCCATCTATGGCAATAAGTTTCCCGATGAGAATTTTGAATTGAAGCACACTGGGCCGGGAGTTCTTTCGATGGCCAATGCTGGGGCCAATACCAATGGATCGCAGTTCTTTATTTGTACTGGGAAGACCACCTGGTTGGATAACAAGCACGTAGTCTTCGGCAAGGTGATTCAGGGTATGGATATCGTTCAGAAGGTGGAGTCCTATGGGTCACAGGATGGAAAGCCAAGCAAGAAGATCATTATTGAAGACTGTGGAGCCCTTTAAAAGAGGAGCTTATGCATTTTTACACTTTCAATACACTGGAAAAACATAACACGAAGATCAAGTTAATTGTTTAAAACTGGCAAAATATAAGGGGCGCAAATTGAAAATAGTTTTTTAATGAAAACTTCCAGAAAAATGTGAAATTTATATATAATTTTGTTGAATTACATCAGCTGGTTTGCTTTGGCAGAAATACTTTGAATCATCTTGAGCACCCTGACTCACCCTTTAGATTTTCTTTTCCATTACTTTTAATTGACTCAATTTAGTTCAAGAGATGCTCTCGCATATGTCGCTTTTGATTCGTTCCACTCGATTCTTTCCCTGTCTCCCATTACCTTTCCCCTCAGACCTTTCTATCCACTTTACTCAAATGCACTTTGCAAATGTCTATTAAGTTCCAGACACTTAAAAAAAAAATCAATTATCTTATAAGTTATATCAAAAAGTGATATTGTATGATAATCCGATAGAGCCATAGCGTTTCTATCTTAGATATTTCTTTGTCACGTTCGTCATTTTGTTTTAGCAAAGAAGATGGAATTTGGTTTTATTAGAAATATTTTAAATATTATTCTAAATATAAAAAAGAAAACTTTGTCTACATAGTTTTTGTAAAAAAAATCTGATTTTCCATCATTTTTCTTAATATTTTTCTTACTAATTTAATAAATATAATTTTTTAAGATTTTTTAACCTTATTTTTCTAAAATGAAAGCCAGAAACGAGATTAATAGTTTACTTATTGGCTTAACAAACCTTAAAAAACCTTAAAAAAATATGATTTTCCCTAACATTTTCCAAAAATATATAAAACAATGAAATTTTCCATTTTCCAAGTGCATGCAATACGAATTTCCAACACTGCTAAGTCGCATTATTATTGCGTTTGCTTTGCTTTTGCTTTGGGGCTTTAGTTTATTTTTGTTTTTTTCTTTTTCTTTTCTTTTTTTGGGCACCCAAAACAAGTCGCGGTCGCCGCTGACGTTGACGCCGACGCCGGCAGAGCTGAGGCCGCGACTTGGCGTTGACTTTTCAGTGCTTTCCTCTCTCAGATTGCATTTAACTCTTGCCGCGTTCACAACACTAAAAGAAACGCGGAGCGGCGCTGTTTGACGGTCGGCCTCTCTTCCTCTCTCGCGCTCTCTCGCGCGGGTGTTTTGTTGTTGGGCAATGCAACTGCCAAGGAAAATGCAAAGGAAAACGCAGCTGCTGCTGCTGCTCTCCTGAAGCAAATTAGCCAAAATAAAGAAAAAGGTTTAAAATTCAAGAAAATTCAACACAAAATTACCTAATTTCGCGTGTGTTTTTCAGTTTGTCAGCTTTTTTTTCGTTGTGTTACCTTTTTATCGATCGAAATCGTTTATCAGCTGTGTGTCAGGTGCCTTTGGCTCATTAAACGCTTATTTAATAATGAAAAAAGAAAAACCAAAACATGTTAATTATATGGTCTATTGTGAAAAGACCTTAATCAAAATAAAGCCCCCCATTTTGCGACTCGCATTTCCAATTTTCATACCCTCTGGGCAAATATGTTGGTTGATTGATCTTAAATTGAAAAGTGCGGTTGAATAAGTCTGTCAAGTGTTTTATTGAAAAATAAAAACAACAACAATACAGCGGAAATCAAGTGTGGCATAAAATTGATAAATGATGAAATTAATGATATAAAATGAATGAAATAAAAAAGAAAATAGATTAAAAAACAGTTCAAAGAAACTGTGCGATATGGGGCATTATAAATTGATAAAGCCCTGACGGTTATTGATGATAAAATAAATGAAAAAAGATAATAAAAATGGGCAAAAACAAAGTGTGCTTAAAATTGACAAGCCTTTTATTGTACTTTAAATGAGCTAATTAAACGTGTAAATAATACTTAGTTTTTGTGCTTTTGTTTAATGATAATGATTTAATAATCCATGCTATATAAAAGGGGAAACAATGAGTTAAAAGGGAAAAGTCTGAAAACATGAAGTATAAATTAAAGACAAAATATACCAAATGTAGGATAGTATTTTATATATACCAAAATGTATAAGGATCTTCAAAATATTTTAAATACTAAACTAAATTACAGATGCCATATTTATAAAACAATTCCATTACAAATTAAAAGTGAAGTTTAAATATAAATTTCCAACAATTACTTTCTTTTTCTATTCTTTTCATTAACTACCACAAAAGGCAATTAAAATATACCTTTAGTTTCCCCCTTTATTCAAAATATATCCATATATCATATCTCATAGCTTTAATGTTCTTCTGCTCAACATTTTCCGAACCGTTAAGTTGGGTAAGAAAATATTCTTTCATTAGCGATGGTTCGTCAATTAGTAGGCATATAAAGCTAACGGCACAGTGCCCGAGGCAGCTAAAGAAGAAGACAGCAACTAACCGGAACTGGAAACTAACATTAAAACCAATAAGCAAAAGGCCTAAGTTAGCAACAACAACAATAGCAACAACAACAATAGCAACAACAACAATACATAAAAGAAACGGAAAAGAACCTCTGATGACATCAACAAAAACAGGGGGTGTACGAGAGAGAGAGGGAATGAGTTGGGATGATATGGGAAAATACTACTCCCATCCAATCCCGCATGCGTCCCGTTACTTTTGCTTTTCGGTTCGTGTCCACGCTTATTCACTTGCGCTTTTGTTTTGTAATGAGTAAAAGATAGGATAAAAGGGAGGGATTTTTTTGGGAGCGGCCTGGGGGTTAGGGTTGGGGTGACCATATAAAAATTCCACATAATTATGCGCTGTCCCTGAGTCAAAACCCATATGTCCAAAAAAAAAAAATAAAGGAAAGAGATAGAAAGAATCGATGAGAGAATCACCCTCGGGACATATGGCGAAAAAGTTTTTCTTTCGGGGGGATCTCAGTTCTCTTCAGCCCCTTTGCCATTGCTCTGGTTTTGTTGATTATTTTATTTTTCCTATTTATAAAGATTGCGTCTCCCCATTTCGTATGCTCGCCCAGTCTCTCATTGCTCTCTCCCGCTCTCTTTCTGCGAGTGCCTCAGTTTATTTTGCCCCTGAATTTCTGGTTCATTCAGTTTGCTTTTCGCGTTTCGCGTGCTTTAATCGAATTTTGTTTGCCTCCCTCGTCTGAGGTTGTAATAAACATATATAACACACCATTTTAAATAATTGCCCAAACTAACTATTAATTTTTGAAAAGAAATTGAAAAATGTTTGTGCTTAAGTTTTTGGCAGCAAAGATCATTGGGAGATCTTAGGAAAATCAGTCACTTTATGATTACATCATTTGTTTTTTTGAGTGTTAAAATTTAAATATTTAAAAATATTTTATAAAAATGAGTTATGCGATTTCTCAAAGTTTGATTTGTAATAAAAATTCCACATTATTGTAGAAAAAGCAATATACAGTGATCACTTGATTTAGTCAACAAAAGGAAGTTCACTTCAAAAAGTGTAAAAAATTCAGCAATGTTTACTGGCTGGGATCAAAAAGAAGTCATAGAGCTTAATCTGTTAATTGTAAAGAATTTCCATTTTTCATTTAGGAAAAACCAAGATCTACCTCAAAGGTCCCTTCATCCCACCTTTGCCATCTTTTCATAAATATTTCTAGAAAATCATTCAAATTGTTTATAGTACTCGGCGCATTCCTGATCCAATTTCGCTCAATCATTGTGTATTTTACAACCTTTTTTTTTCTTCTGTTTTTTGCTTGTCTCACTTTGTTGCATGAAAACTGCACACAGCAGCCGAGTAAAATTTGCATTTAATGAGCTCTCCCCCTCCTTACTTACTCATCCTCTTGAAAATAACCCCCCTCCTCCTTTCACCGCCCATTGTATGCAAATCTTTGTGGAATTCAATTTTGCTGAAGAGCTAGCTAATGATAATTTTCTTTTATGCTGTTTTTGATTGCCGGGGCATGTGCAAGGCAGAAAATTTTTCAAAAGTTATGGAAATCTTTTTTAAAAAATTCAGCTGACAAAAAAAGGAAAGTTTACTTCATTAGCTATTTTTGTGTTTTAATTGATTTGGTTCAGTTGACTAAACAAAATATGAAAGAAGTTCATTTATGAATCATGTTTACTTTATGAATATTCACTGTACTTTGTGTTTTATTAAGGCCTTTTCTTATCTACTCTGAATCAAGTTGTAATTGTGATTATTTCTTATCAATTTTTTTAGAAACGAAACATTTTTCAATGATTTTAGTAACTTGATTCTCATTAAAGAGCTTAGTTTGGAAAATTTGGAATATAATTTTGTTTTTTCTTAATCAGTGATTCTCTGCTTTAAATTGACCCTAGATTTGACCTTTGTTTATGTGTGTTTTTTTTAGCTTTGACAAGGGTACCTTACCTATAAAAGTCGCCAAATGTTGTGATAAGACTAAGAATGATTTAGTTTGTTGGACTACAAAAATAAACAGCACCAACAGAATTCCAAGTAAAAGAAAAGCAAACTTAGCCAGGCATTGCATTTTCTGGTAATTAGACACTTGTCGGATAGTTAAAACCCAAAGAATACAAAACAATAGAAAATGGGGAGAGGTTTGGAAAATAGCTCTTCGCAGAGAGGATATGTAAAATTGTCTAAGAATTTGCCTTGAAGTCTGAACAAAAATAATTTAACGGTCTGTTGGTTCTAGAAAAAAGAAGATCTACACTAAAAGAGAGGGTTGGTTTATATAATGAATACAAAACTAACTGTGATTAGCATATTTCTAGTTTTATTCTTTGGTCAAAACTTACCATGAATAATCTACTAAAATACTAGTTTTTTTGATAATTTAAAAGAAATTCCCCTTTTAGGGGGCAAAACAAATTGAGGTAGATCAGTTTTTGTGACACCAAACAGCTGTCGCGACTTCTGTCTCGTTTTCTTTCCACTCTGGCCCTCCTCCTTGTCGTCTCCCTTTGGGCTGTGAAATGAGGTTAGCATGTTGTTTCAGTTTCACCTTTTAGTTCTTTGTCTTAGCGTGGGCGGTCGGTCGGTCGGTCGGTTGGTTGGTCGTCTAAAAGGTTTATTGCCATGTAAAATGCAACAACAGAAGAAATAATTGCAAATACAAACTGCAAACTGCAACACCAGGCCAAGAAATCGAGGTTATTCGGGGTAATTGGCACGAATTTGTTTGCCAACTTGAAATATGGTTAGTTTTCTAGGGGTTCAGAGGGCGGTAAGAAAAAAGGGTCCGAAAATAACAACCCACTTTAAGGCATATTAGAATGCATAAGTGATGAGGGTCCGGAAGTAACAGCCCACTTAAAAGTGGATTAGAATGCATAAATGATAAGTGTTTTTTGGTTTAAAAGAGATATTTTCAGGATTCTTTTTTAAGAAATTTCCCCAAATTTACATTTTTGTAAGTGCTTAGATCTGGGTAATTAATAGTTCCTACAATTTCCTAAAGAAAATTCCTAAAATATTTCCCCCACTGCAACCAGTAAAACCTATTTATAATGCTTTACCCTAACCCAACTTCGGAATGACCTGCTCCCTCTCACCTTATATGGCCACAAATGTGAGATATTTATGCTAAACAAGTCAATCTTTATGGCTCCACATAAATGCTTTATCTGGGAACTCATAAACTGGAATAGTTCTCGGGCTAGTAGCGCGTGTGCATTCATTATATGAGATCCCCCCATTAATGCTCAGATATTTCATTTCTGAACCCTCAAGAAAAAAAAACACATTCTTACAGTTTGGGTTTTAAGCGATTTGGGCATTGAAAGATGCATCATAAAACGTGCCTGCCACTGCATAAAGATTCCAAAATATTGCAGTTGAAAATAGAAATTTGTTATTGAAGTTGTTTATTTCACTTACTTTCAATTTTCATCATAATTTTCCAACGAAACGAAACAAGTTGCACAGGGTACATGTGTATACGTAAGACAGGGTCTCTGGTTGTTGTTATTCAGCTGTTTATTAGACAAGTTTGTTGGTGAAAGTTGTTGTTGTTGTTAATGTTGCTGCTGCTGCATTTGCCATGCTCCATTGACAAAATTGTTCATAGATCAATGAGTCTTGCGGTCAAGTTGTTTTGGACTTCTGTGTTCGGGTCTTTGAGGGATTTGTGCCTTTTGGTTTTAAATAGATTTTTTGTTTTCGAAGAAAATGCTGTAAAATATTAGTTTGCTTAAAGAAAAAGATCTTAAAAATAATAATATAGCCTCTTTGGCTTTTCCCTTATGAGAACAAAAGTGTTCTCATTTCTTAGCTAGAAAAATATGTAAGGCAAATAAATTCTAATTTATTATGACAAGCCACTTAAACCCATTTGACATGAGCAAGTGTGCAGAATTGTCTTCTTCGCAGACTTATTTTTCTCTTAATTTGTATAATTCCCGTTTCTGGGCTCTCTCTGAATCACACAATTTATTATAAACAATTTAAAAGAAGATGAAAAATACAAATTCATGACACATTTCTAGCGATGGATTGAATCATTGTCTGAGTATAAAGAGAGAGATAGAGAGACAGAGCAAAGACTAGATTATGCAATTCTTTCAGTTACGGCAGAAGAATTGCATGCACCAACAGTTTTTCCCCTCCATCTTTCCATAGCTCTGCTGTTTTTATCTACACGAAGTTCATCAATTCAACTTGGAAATTAAACTTAGCCAGAAGCCCAGCAGCAGAAGAAGAAGTAACCAAAGTCAGTCGTGTAGAAAGAAGATGAGACTGTAGTTGGGGAGAAGAAGAGTTGCTGGCAGGGAAAGGCAGGGTTAGAGAATTGCAAAGACTGTCTTCGTCGGTGCTTCTTTTGTGTTTTGTTTATCTTTTTGTGCAAGCGCACATTTCCTGCATGAAATACAGAAAAATTCTTTATGGTTTTCCACCATTCTATGCCTTTGTTTCCAGTCGATTTCTTGCTCTGCTTTCTGCATCTCTCTCTCTCTCTCTCTCTCTCTGTCTCTCTGTATGGTATCCATCCCAATCGAAATACAAAACCAAATCTGAATTCAAATCCCAAACAATTACCTTTCAATTTGTTAAGAATTGTGCTAAAGGCCATCGCCAAACAAAAGAAGAAATAATCATTTGCTAAGCTTGTATTTATTTTCTTTTCTTTTCCGACTATTATTTTTCTGCATAATTTTATTTAACTGCTTGGAGGGAGAATGAAAATTCCTTTTGTTAGCTTGGTGAACTTTGCTTTCAGTTCAAGAAACTCATTTTTGGAGAGCAGAAAAAGAAATAAAGAAAGAAATTCGTGGGGGACAATCTTTGTAAAGAGATCTGCAGAAGAATTGTTCTGCTTATAATTATGCAAGGAGAATTTCTTAATGGGATTGTTATGGGAAGTTGTTGGGAGTTGTTGAAGATCTTTTATGAAGAAATGTTATTAGAGTTCTGTACTGTAGGTTCGGTAGAAAGGAGAAGGTTGAGGAAGATTACTCTTTAGTTATTAATAACAAAGAAAAAACTAACAAAAATGTGTAGAAATAAAAGCAAAAAATGTAATACAAATATATCAATTTTAAAGCCACAACTTTAACCGTGATAATTCGACATATTTTTAATAAAATTAATTTAACCCAAAGCCAAGCCTTAAAAATGCCCAGAAAAGTGCCTTAAAACCGAGAGAGAGATGTAAAAAACAAAGCAACCCAAAAATATCTGATCTATGTGCCTACAAAACTAAGACAAAACAAAAACCGTCTTCCCACTCAAATGAAAAATCACAAAAAAAAAAGAAAGTGCAAAAATAAAACAAATACAGCCCCCCAACTAGTGCCACGCCCCAGGATAACCATTTAGCCAAATAAGACAACAAATTCCCCAATAAAAAAAACATCAAAAAATAAATAAAAACAAAAAGCAAATCATGAGTAGTCAACCTGCCAGCCAGCCCGATAGCATTGACTTAGCCTATGATATGTGGGCGGGCCAATTCGAGTTCGTAGGACCCACAACAAATCAGCAAAGCAGCAAGAACAACAACAACAATAGCAATAGCAGTAATCTAAACAACAACAAGTGCCGAATTGGAGCCACACAAAATCGGAAATTATCAACGGATAGCCTGGAGGATTTGAATCTAAGCTTTAATACGAGCGCCACGCAAAATCCGTTAAGTAACGCCTACAGTTTGGGAGTCACTAGCAGCGGCGGTGGTGGTAGTGGTAATGAATACTGTGGCTTTGGCAAACATCCGCCCATACTGATCGATCAGGAGACCTTCCTTAGCTTAAATCCAGCTGACTTTGAGGACATTGTGCCATCGAATTCAGAGCCCAATTCATTGGTCTTCATTGAGAACAAACTTGAGACGAACAACAATAGCCTCGAATCGAACAACAACAATAATCATATCAACAATAATAATAATAACAATAATAATAATAATAGTAATAAAATCTACAATTTGGAGAATCTGACAAGTAAATTCAATAACAAGACCAATAATACAAACACAAACGGTTTCAAATTGGAAAACCTGAAGAATTTCAAGAACAAACTACTCTGTGATTTCGAGGATACCAACGGCAGTGGTGGAGGTGTTAGTGGTGGTGCCGTCGGCAGTGGAGGATCAGGACCTGTTGGCATGATGAGTGGTGCACTCAGTGCCGAGATTTGCGATAATCTCAATGAGCAAGTAAGCAGTGTACTAATAGTAGTAGTTTTCCCCTCTTTTTCCGGGGCTAATTTCATCAGAAAGTTCAGGGTTCATTCAAAGGGGGGGAGGTGGGCGTCAGCCTTTATTTTCAGTTCGCATGTCACGACATCCAAGTAATATATAGTATAAACGACCTGTCAATAATGTCCATTCCAGTCCATTCACTATAAATAAGCCGCAATTGAATGCAATTTGCTTTAGTCTAACTTTGAATTGCCTTAGTTCAACTGTTTAGTTCGGATTGTCGGCGGGAAAATTCTGTCTGAGTTGACATTTTAATCAATTGTTAGAGGAAGAAAGGTTTTTTCAGAAATAATATGCTGGAAACTAACGATGTGAGTGCTGGGAAATTACGGGTTAAGTGTGGAAAAATCTTTGAAATTTCTTGGATAAGTCTTATCTAAGATGAAAAACCCGGGGAACCATTACCAATTAAATTTTATAGAAAAAAACGACTTGGATTTCCCATTTTCCCCACCAGATGTTCCCACCTTTTTCGAAAATCAATTGTTTCGCCATGTTGTTTACGATTTCCTTGACTTATTTACCTTTTTTAACGTCAAAACTGGGCCAAAAATAAAAATTTCAAAGTCGAAGAACTTGTTGTGTTTGCCATATAATTTGCTAGACATCTGCTAACTATAAACAAAAATAAACTATAGTTTGTGCCAAATGAGATCATCACTCACAAATCATCGGTGAAGAAAAGAAATTAAAATCGAAAACAGACATTTTTTTGAGAAATTAGTTGACGCAGCCAAAATTAATGATACCAAAACAGAAATCTTAACAAAATTGATGATTAGCCGTGAAGGGGAAAATGTGTCAACGAAAGTAACTGAAGTGGAGGAGCTCATGTGGATTGAGAGAAAAGCAGGGAAAACCCATTGGGTTTCTCTAAGCTGATTGCTCTAGTTTCAGTGGAAGTGAAAGAAAAGAATCTTTATCCACAAACTGCTACTGACTGCAATTCCCAGCATTTTATGCAACCAATTAGAAGGCTTATTATTCCCAGTGAGTCTACAAATGAGAGCAACCATATCAGCCCCTGCGCTGGAGGTCAGTTCTTTTGTTTTTTCTTTTGAAAAGCGATAAACCTTCAGCGGATGCTATGATTTGTTTACCATACACTCGATCTACATAGAGTAGTGAGGAAACTCATTTTGATAAATGAAACAATTGTAGGGCATTGTATCGGTCTAAGAGGAAGCTGTGGCAAGTCAAGATTTTCTTTTTCGGGTCAAAGCTAATGCCGATTGTAATATCCGAGTGGTTCTAGTTTTTGTTCCAAATGTTTTTCTTTTCATTATTTACGAGTTGTTAACGAGTCAACAGAAGGAAAGGAAACTATTTCAGATAAGTTAAAAAAATATGTTTATTTTAATGATGAGAAAACCCTTAAAATATTCTTTTATTTATCCATTAAAAACTACATCAAGGGTCAGCAAAAGAGAGCCAACAAACCAATTAGCTTTTGACCTTCTCACCTGTTTACAATTTTCCCCTTGTTAAAATTGTATTTCCTCTTTTGAGCACTTCAACGTTTGACACCTCTTGTTCTTTCCTGGTTTATTTTCTTTAATTTTCTCCCCCATTTTTTTGGGACAACCTTCGCGTTGGCCAAAACATCTGTTGCGTATTTCCGCACTTGCCATTACAGTTTTCCCATCATTCAGTGGCACCTGTCGTGCCATCAACTTGTCAAAACGAGACTGGAAAAATCAAAGGCCAAAAGGCATTAATGACCCCGGGAACACCAACTTTTTTCTAAGGCAAAAGAAAAGAGGAAAGTGACAAGCTCAATGTAAGCGTATTTAGAGAAATTAAAGAGTATGAAAGGTATATCATTTGCTAAGGAAAATGAAAGGAAATGGTTTCTTGATTAGTAAACTGAACAGCAGATGAGGTTTGATGTTAACTTGGCAGAAAGAATGATCTTACTTGCCCCAAAAAGTAAGCATTTTTTAAAGAACTTAGTTACAGGGTATATCCGTAGTCATCACCCTCTCCTATAACACTCTTAAATGCTCCCATATACAACTCCTCGTCACTTGTTACTCAATTTGTCTTACACTTTTATTGTTTTCTCTTTATGCCCCTAGCAACATTTTATTTTTATTAATTTTTTTTTGGCTTTTGTTGCTCACTTTCTGGCCAAACGGTTTCTGAATGGCCTGCGACTTCTGTTTTTTCAGCTTTTTTAGCTTCTGGGTTCTGGGTTCTTCCCTTTTTTTCTTCGGAAGAATTCGGTAGACATTTAATTTAAATTCTAGTTTCTATATAATATGCTTAGTTTTTTTTTTTGGCATGGTTCATTGTACACATACAGTGAGAGCCCCTAATTGAGACCCCTGCTGCCATATCGTACTTTTTTCTCGGTTGACTCAGCAAGCTTATTCTTCTCTCGGAATATATATTTCTCACTCTCTGAATATTTCTCCATTTCTATGGCATTCTGTTGTTTGTTTTTGGCGTGGCCTGGCCCTAGGCCCAATTTTTCAGTACTTGCCGCGCCGCCTTTGACGTCGATTGTCTGTTCATAGTTTTTCCGTGCTCTCAACTCGATCGAATATACTCGTATATATAGTGCCCCCTTACACTCTCTCTGATTCTGTAAATCTAGCAAACTGCGAAATTGTGGCCAGCAAATTGCATTTAATTAAGCCTAATTGAACCCTATGCCGGTCAACACAGTTTGACAGCCATTTGGTGACGACCCCAAAAATTCAAAGCGGCTTGTAATCGCTAATTGAACTTCTCAATTGACATTAAGTTTGTTGTGGGTATGAGGGTGTAATCAGAAAGGGAAGGTGATGATGGAATTAGATTAGCAGAGATCTAGCATCGTTGTTAGTTCTTAGATGGGCAGGGTTTCCAGGGGTAGAAAAACACTTTAAGGGGTATCTAATGTTTAAAAATATTTTCTATTAGTTAATCTTTCAGCACAACTTTCTCGCTGCGTAGAAACATTGCAAGCGCCACACAGTTTTGCTTTGATAAGAAACCTTGTAGACATCCTGTACTGCAGTCATCTTGCAAGTTTCTTATCATCTCAAGCAGGCGATCGACTCATGTTCAAATCATCTGTTTTTATTAAATACGCGGGCGGGTCATGAGTAATTGCGCAAAAAAAAAAAAACAGCAGTCGGAAAAAAAGATATTAATGGCAAAAACAGATTTTTGCAAAATCCAGCAAATAGTTGGCCAAAACTTGAATGCAAAGCAAAATGTGTGTGTCTGTGCTTGCATATCTTTTTACGCCTTCTACTAAAGTGGCAACCTATGGGGCGTATGGTTAATATTTATGATATTCATATGGGCAAGGCATGCCCATAGCACTAGGCAACCAAACTGGGATGACAGATGTGTAGTAAAAACCACTCAAAGTGCTTCTCAAGAGTGGAATATGTCGTTAATGAGAAGTTCAATATTGCTGCACAAGTTTCGTTATCAACATAATGTTAGCCTTTGTTGACTGGTGTAATTAACAGCATTTTTCAATGAGTTGTCGTTGTAGCTTTGAGAAAATTTAAACGACAGTCTGCTGCGACCATCAACTGAGCAAAGACTACCCGGCGATGCAGAAATAATTTGAATTTTTCTTAAGACTGCGCGAAGAAATTAGCATTCCTGTATAATGTGAAAAAAAAGATAGAAAAACAAATATAGATACAGTTGAACATCATATATAGATATATATAAGCAAATGTATGTGAAATATCCCATGGCTGATGTGCAGTTGGTCAACGATCTGCTCCTCGATCTGCGGCACATGAAAAACGATTGTGTTAGTCGATGCACGAACCTATCTTGATCGAATATAGACTTATCAGTTTTCTTTTTTTTTCTATATACTTACAGCTGGAACTGCTGCAGCGCAAGGTGGATGATCTGTCAGATACTCAGAATATAGCTGAAGATAGGACAACCCGCACCAAGACCGAATATGCAGTTCTCCAGGCGCGATATCACATGCTCGAAGAGCAGTACCGAGAGGTTAGTAAATCTCCTCTTTTTCTTATTTTTATATCTCATATTTTCATTTCCTCTTTCAGTCGGAACTGCGTGCCGAAGAGCGTTTGGCCGAGGAGCAGAAGCGACATCGCGAGATCCTGGCCCGCGTGGAGCGCGAAGCTTCGCTGCAGAACGAGAACTGCCAGATGAAGATCCGTGCCACCGAAATTGAGGCATCGGCACTGCGCGAAGAAGCCACTCGATTGCGAGTCTTGTGCGATAAGCAGGCCAATGACTTGCATCGCACCGAGGAGCAATTGGAACTAGCCAAAGACCAGATCGGTGTCCTGCAGCAGGAGCAAGAAGAGCAGACACAAGCTCTGCGCCGTCACGAGCAGGAAAAGAAATCCGCCGAGGAGTTAATGATGGAGTTAAGTCGTGAACTGCAGCGTGCCCGCGAGGAGAGTGGAGCCCGGGCTATGCCAACAACATCACCGGAGAGCATAAGACTGGAGGAGCTGCATCAGGAGCTCGAAGAGATGCGCCAGAAGAATCGATGTAAGTGAAAGAGTGAGGAAAGAGGATTAAGTGGGGTTTGAAACCCGTCTAAGACGATGACTTTTAGTTAATTTCAAGAAAATTAGAAACCATTTTAATAACATCCTTTCATTTTCTTCCCTAGCCCTCGAAGAGCAAAACGAGGAGTTGCAGGCCACCATGCTGACCAACCAGGCCACCATGTTGACGAATGGCGTGGAGCAGGGTCGCCATCTGCTGAATGGAACCCTCAACAGTTTGGCCCAAGAGCTGGAGGAGATGTCACAAGCCCAGGTGTGTAGATCGTGCTAGTCTTTTACAACGCCCGCTTTTGCTTTTAGTGTAGTCCAATCTGTCATCCCCACACCCATAAAACACACAGTCTAGCCCGCCAAGTCCAAAAGCACACGCACAGTCACCGCAAAAGAAAAACTGATGAAAAATGCTATTTAGAAACCTACAGTTTGAGAGCCTCCTAGTGTCCGTACTGCCCTGCGTTTATATTTTTGATTTATATATATATTTTATTCTAGCCACATGTGTATTTAAATTGAAAATTTATTGTATTACAGGATTCTGTGGATTCAGCCACATTAGCATCCTTAAGTCAGGTAATGCTTCAATCACGCAAAAGCCACAATCAAAAAAAAACAAAATGAAAAATTAATCAAACACGGTTTTGGAGCCACTGTGCACGCATTGCAGTTTGACTTAAACTAAAAATTGACTAGAAACTAATGTTGGTTCATGGTTTTCTAATATATATCAAGTTATCATTATGGACATATTTTCACCTGGTTCAACTCTATAACATTCATTCGTGTATATAAAAAGAAAAAACTCAAAAAATCTTTATATTTTTATCTATGTTTTATGTGTCAACCTAAGCTTGATCTGAGTACTAATGAAAATCTATATCTTACAGCTGCAACAGGCCTTCCAGGAAAAGGAGGACGAAAATGCTCGGCTCAAGCACTACATTGATAGCATTCTACTCAACATCGTGGAGAACTATCCTCAGCTGCTGGAGGTCAAGCCCATGGAACGGAAGTAGAGCAGCAGCAGCAGGAGCAGCAGCAGCAGCCAATCTGGAAGAACAAACCAATCCCCTGGTACTCGATGGGAGTGCCACAACCACCTAACATTAACTAAAAAGAATAAACTAACTAAACCATATGTTTTAAGCTACACTCTATATACATGTATTTATGCCTAACCTTAAGTCGTAATTTATTTTATAACAATTTAATGTAGTTTTTTAAAACCAAAACAACACAGAGAACACAAAGATTGCATGTCAAAATAATGATGATGAGAAGAAAAAAAAAGTCCTTAATTCGATTAGAAAATTTGTTTTTGTATAAAGAGTTTCTAAAAATGTGTAAAAGTTGAATTTCCTTCGTTTCTAGTTCTGAGTTTTTGTATAGTGCGTGTTGTTGATCCCTAAAGATATTAATTATAAATAATGTTTAGAACTTAAGTCGTAAAAACTCGTTTACTTATTAATGAAATGGAGCCCAATATGTTAATGCTAATTGCTGGAAAATCTGAATGCGAATGTGTATAGCTTGGATGTGAAGTGGTTAATGTTTGATAGCAGATATTTTCCGAATTTTGTTAAGGCAGCTAAGAAGATTTTTGCTAGGAAAAAGTTTTCCATATTTCCAACTACTTCCTCTCTACTTCTTGTAAACTATTTCTAACACTTTCTATATCTTTATCTGCACTCTCAGAGAAGATCTTGCTTAGTTTGCCTCTCTAAAGTAGTTACAAACAAAAAAAAATCTATCAAAAAATTTGCGTTTATGGTATGGACAATCCCAGAATACGAAGACGAAGTTTTAGTTTGATTGTGGATCTAAACGAAAGCAATTATCACTATATATCATAACCCACAAACATACATATGTCGATGTATAGCACAGTTAAAACGTAATCTTACTCTGCATATATAACCCAACATGAAATGGACATAATGTGCAACAACATTTAGGGATGGGCCATGATAGCTCCAAAAACGAAAGCGATCCCTAATAGTCTAAGCTAAAGGAAAAACTCAAGCGGTCAACCCTAAAATAGTTATTATATAATATTCAAGAAAACTCAAGAATCGATATGAAATCGTTAATCAAAATGTAATTGCCTTAAACGGAAGTTTTTAAAGTGTTTTTAAGGCCTAGTTAACTCTAATAAAAAAGTCCATAAAGTATGTTTTATGACTATGACTACTGAGTAATATGGAATTTTAAATGTAATTTACCAGATGCAAGTCACAGAACTTAAATCAAAATAAAACGAAGAATATTTTATAAACAAAAAAAGAGACCCCGCCTTTTTCGACTGTCCCTAAAACCAAAGCGCTGCTAATTGCCAGAACTCGTTCGAAGACAATGCACATAAATGTTTAATTTATTAAGGAAGCTCGAGGCTGAGAACAGGTTCGTTTCCCAGGGAAGATTGCGTAAGATCGTTTTGATTTTGAATCTGTTATATAAGCCGGGTTAGGCAGCAGTCAAGGCCAGAGAAGACATTGGAGTTTAAGTTACAAGATGTTTAAGCCGTATTATCCTTTGGCCGCAGGTGGGCTACTGAAGTTCCGTGTCGTTGGGAGCAGGATTTGAGTTTCACTTTATATTTTTTCCAGTGCTGCTGTGTTTCGTCTTCGCCACAGCGCAGGTTGTGCCAAATACAGAGATCGGTCGGATTACCATCCAAGTGCCGTTGCTGTCAAATGGAAAGCCCGTAATGGTGGCTAACCAGGAGAGGGAGGAAGTCGCCACCGTGGAGGAGATCAAGCCGGGAAAGGTCCATGTGGTCCAGGAGGTAGTGGTGCCACCTACTGTTAAGTCGGATGATAAGGTTCGAGTGGCAAGATCTGTTTCAAATTCGGGAAGCTATAACCATTATCTGACCAATCCTGGTATCCCCAACCATGGAATTCCGAATCCTGGCATCCCTAACCATGGCATTCCGAATCGTGGAATCCCCAATGATGGCATCCCTAATCCTGGCATCCCTAACCATGGAATCCCGAATCCTGGCATTCCCAACCACGGAATACCCAATCGTGGAATCCCTAATGACGGTATCCCTAATCCTGGCATCCCTAACCATGGCATTCCAAACCCTGGTATCCCTAACCAAGGAATACCCAATCGTGGAATCCCCAATGATGGCATCCCTAATCCTGGTATCCCCAATCACGGAATTCCCAATCCTGGCATCCCCAATCATGGGATTCCCAATCCCGGCATACCCGTTCCAGACGCCTCTGAACTCATGCCGGTTGTTGTAATGCCACCTAGTAGAACGACCACCGCACCTGCATCCAAGTCAACGCCCAAACATGTACCAACCAGAAATTGCTTTCACCTGCTGACGGGTGGCATGACCACAATGTCTCCAACGGAAATGCCGCCTCCAACAATGGAAAACTGCGATGAGCTGTGCACCAAGTTGGAGTACTTGCCCATTTGTGCCCACAATGGGATCTGCGTCCATGAGTTTGCCAATCAGTGCGTGATGGACACCTTCAATTGCAAGCACCGAGATTTGTCATTCCGTGCAGTGGACGAGGATGTCTGCCGGCTGGGAGTTTGTATGAGGCGATGCAAGGAGGATGAATTGAAGCTTTGAGATGTCCATTTACGAAAAGTATTCCTTTTAAGACAATACAATATCACTTAAAGATTAAATATATATAATAAATAATTAAAAATATCTTTAAAGTATAGATTTTTGTATACAACAATAAATAGTTGAAAGAATATGAAACTACTCAGAGAGCGTTAATAATGATTTATGTATATAGTAAAGTCAAAGATCTAAGTAAGATGCTTAAATTTGAGCCTACTTTTGCAATATTCCAGCAGGCAAACAATTTGTTTAAAACTTCTCTGAAGCAAAAAGGGCCAAGTTGTTGGTTAAGTTACCAGAAATAAGAAACCAAGTTTAATTTTTACAAAATATTCGGCAAAACTTCTGAGTCAAGTCAAATGCATATGGTTATAAAATTCTATGAAACCAATTTTCCAAGTATAAATGAATAAGAATGAACTTCAAATTTATAACTTTTTCAACAATGGGTTAGAGCTATAATGGGATAAACTCAGAGTAAGTTTGCGAGTATAAGTTTTAAATTCCTGTCTTCCTAAACTCCTAAACTTGACATAATTTATTCCAAGAGATAACCTACAGTTGTCTTAATTCCTCATTACCAAGTTAATAATCTCAAAAATAAGCATACGAGCATATATTGTATGAAATAAAACTTTAGTTTAACTTCCTTTTTTAGTCTTTATTAAATCACAATCCTCAACCTATCAACCAAAAGTCTTTTTTTTACAAGCCAAACTCCCTGAGATCTGACTCCATGCAAAGTGGCTGCCAATCCTGCAAGCAACGATAGTCTTCCACGGTCTTAAACACTTTCTGGGGATTGCGGCAGTTGTAAGCTGACATGGCACAGCGGCTCTCAAACTTCAGAAGGCATTGTCCGTTGGTGGCACACACAGAAGGATCCGTTTCGGGGCAGAAATAAACACATGTATCCTCGACTTTATCCGCATAAACCCTTTTGCCATGCTGATCAATGCTCAGATTATTGGTAGTTGATGTAGGAGGCACTACTTTAGCGGCAGTATAGGCCATGAAAACTGTAAATATATTTAAATGTTATAAAAAATTAATTAATTATAATTATAAAGTAAAAACAAACCCAGAAAGAAAATCGACAGAAGCTTCATTGTTGGTTTGCGATGGAACTTCGGTTGAAACTGTTGTGATTTTGATTTTGATTGCGTTTACCTTGCCGTGTTCACAGCAACTGTAAAACTGTTGATTTTGATACCGACTGGCCATCATTTTATATACCCAACAGATTTTTGCTGATGAAAGCTTTTGGTTTCAGCTGCGGTCTGTCCTTCCTGATTCCCTGCATAATCCCTTATTTTAACACCTGCCAGGGATATTAAATTGCATCATCAACGGCGGCATCAACAGCTTTGTCTGTCATTTTTATTCTTATCTGCCTTGTAATTAAACGGTCCAGCCGGGCTAAAAATAAAAAAAGAACATCGTGAAATGACAAAATTTGCATATTTATTGTTAGGATTTTAATTTGCTTTTACTGTAGCTGCTGCCTAAAAGTATGCTTTTGAATTGTGAACAATATTTCTTAATTGTGAAAAATTCCGCGCGGCTGTTATGAGGGCGCTACTTTTTCTGGTTGGAAAAATTTGATTATAATTTCTTTGAATGAGAAAAGGTATTTTTAGTCTTTTATAGAGTTTCAAATTGGCATATTCTTGAGCAAATTAAATAGTTAATAGCTTAAGTTATGTTAACTCAGCGTTAAATTTTAACATAAACCGCTACCTAACTTTACCTTCTTCCTCGAAGGCCCCCAAATCCCTCTTACCTTACACTTTAATTGGCCTTTGATAAATGTCCAACCAAAAAATGAATATTCAACTTCCAAATTTAAGTACTTATCTTTCTTACATTACATTTTCTGCCTCTTTATAATTTTAATTACAATTTGTTGGCACTCTCAAAATATATCTCATAATTTTCGTATTTAAAAAAGTATCTTCCAAACATGAAATTCCATAAGGAAACGATTAAATTCATATTTGAGATATACTCCCAGGTGGAAGACAAGTCTTTCGCCCTCTTCCCCAATCATCACCTACCTTCAAAGTGCCTGTCTCAGCTCACTGGTCCGTTCAAGCGCAACCAAAAACCTGTTAGCATCTCGTGTGTTGAGAATTTACATAACAACCAAATAATAACATGAACAAATATTATTAAACAAATCGTTTGCAAGGCTGGTGACGTTTAAGGGAGCCCCAACAAAACCTTTATAAAGTGAAAACATTTTTGGTAAAAGTCACAGAACGCTTTCGAGTGTCGAAAAAGGAACGCCAGTTTGGGATTATTTAATAAACATGAAAGTCATTTTGGTTTTAGGTGAGTTTAAAGTTTTCTTTTCAACAAAAATATAATATGAAAGGTTATTTTTGTGCCTTTCTGAGAGAAAACTGTAACCTGAATATCCTTGAATATCCTCATCAGCCCTCCTGTCGCTGGGACAAGCCGCAGAGTTGCCCTCGTCGACGGAAACCACAACAGCAGCCACAACGGGGAAACCCCAGCAAACGGATCTGCCCATTCACATCCAGAACCTGATAACCAGCCACATCAATCATGTACTACAGCATATAAAGAACAAACCTCAGGTCGACTCCCATACATTGAGTGGCCCAGTCGAATGGAATGGAAGTGGTAGTGGTAGTGGGAGTGGTAGTGGGAGTGGTAGTGGCACGCCAGTGGTCAAGCCCCATCCAGATCTCCTTCCACCATTGGCACACTCTGGTAATGTCCTTGCGACTCCCGTTGCCGACATACCAACGTCTACACCTGCGCTGCAATCTGGCCTACAGCCGGTGCAAGCTGGCAATCCACAGGTGAAGATAACCAATCATCAGGCCACCGGTACTCTCATCCACCATGGAAAGCCAGTGGTGCAGAATAAGGTGGTGATGCCACCAGTGGACCAAGTGGTGCTCAATCTTCCCGGTCAAGAACAACCCATCAATGTGGCCGAAAAACTTCACAAGCTGCAACATCATGTCAACAAGATTATGCAACAGGCTGAGAAACATATCCCATTGGCTGTTAACCAGGCTATTAAGCAAAAGAAGGAACAGCAGGCTCAAAGGGAAAAGGAGCAGCTTGAAAAGGATAAGGAAACTAACAAGGATCAGGAGAAGAACAAGGAAGATAGTGTGAATCATGAAGACCCGGAGCCAACCGAAACAACACAAAATCCAAAGACAGGTCGATCTTTGGTAGTTAACGAAGTCCATGCCCATATTCCCCAACTGATTGCCCAGCATAGTGAGGAAATCAAACTGGGAAAATGTAATTTCGAGTGCCCCAAAAAATCTCTATCCATCTGCGCTAGCAATGGCAAGTGTGTGGTCAATTTTCCAGGTCAATGTGAGCTGAGTCAGTGGAATTGCTTTAACTCTAAGAATGGTAATGATTTTCTTTACTAAGGTTCTAAGGTTTTATATTTATTAAGGAAAATTCCTTTTGTTTTTCTTACAGTTTTCCATCAGGTACATGATTCAGAGTGCCATAACACCATCACTTGCTATAAGAGGGATATGATGTGAGCTTTTCCTCTCAAATTTTAAGCTATTTGCAAACGAATTTACTAATATTCTATAAATTAAACGTCCAAAATTCCAAATAAAGTTACTAAAAAATCTATAAAAATGTGGCTATTTGACAAACCTTAGCCAAAATTTTCCTTTAATTTCAACAAAATACCCAAATTTATTGATAAATAAGACCATTTGCCATACTCATTATCATTAGCCACTCAATTCCTTACCACAATTCACCACCCATATACCATTGCCAAGCCATTTTCCGTATCTACCAAGAAGTTGTTTGCTTGACATTTTATCTTCACTTTCGCCACACTTTCACAATACGCTGGGAAGTCCCATCTGCTTCTGGCAGGCGAACGATTGCCATGCGGCAATCATCCAATTTGTCAAAATGGCTTATTAACGGATTTGGGTAAGAGCCGCACGACGAGCGTAGCGAAGTTGGCTCAAATAAATGTCATTATCATTGATTTGCCAATACAAATGCCACAAAATGCCACGACAGGGATGGGAAACGAGGGGATTGGCTTTCGAGATTGGAGCTTGGCCAAAAGCGGAATAGACAGTTGGCCAACATTTTCTGGTGCGGCTTATCACTAAAATGTTGCCACATGTAGCTGATGATGGCATAAGGCTAACTCCCCGGTATGGTAACTTGGACCCGTTTCGAATGTCAGGCCCCCCCCTGGAGGCGATAACTGCTGGAAATGGTCTATGCAAATTGCAGTTTTCTGACCAATTAAAAAGCACTTCTGGTCGGTCAGCTAACGGAGTTCAAGGGAAGTTTTCTTTAAGTTTTTCTTTTGGTTATCTCAGAATAAGATTGCTATCTCGTTGTGGGCACCTATCAATTCCTCCAACCTATATATTTTACATCTACATGGTAGGTACGGACGAAGACCCCCATCCTTAACACTGGTTAACTATTCGTTGTAGCATGCGGAATCTACGACATCTATTCGCCTTTTGGGGCCCATAAATTTTCCACTTTTTCATCCGCAATTCCCCCGGGGAGATCGTCGGAGTCTACAGAGAGAAAGAGAGAGAGAGACAGACCCCTTCCTTGGATTCTCCGCCGTGTTCTACAAATGTTTGACTTAGTTTCGCTCCATCTGTTGGCTGCCTGCTGCGTGTCTGGCCTTCTTGGCTCTGTTTTTGGCCAGGTCTGCAGTGCCACGCATGCGTCTTAGCCATTATGTGTTCGTTTCTTCTTCTACCGTATTCCCCGTCACCTTGCCTTTTGCTCTATACGAAAGAAAAAAATATCCGTTAACTCTGCCGTTCGCTTATCTCAGCCAAATGCTTTGGCTTGGCTTTGGCTTAGCCAGATTTACTTCTTGCCAATGCAGTGAGAGAAAAATTTAACAAAAAGATTGCTGATAAAAGTGAATTTAGCTTTGATAAACATAGGTTTTAAGCTTGGTTTTACTGATTAATAGTTAGCTTTTTTACTATAATTTCTACCTATCTTTTTTAAGGTTAGAAACTTACTCTTTGGTTCTAGATTTATCTTTCAGTTAACATGTTTTTTAGTTTTACATTTACATTTTTAAAGACATTTTTTCCAGTGTTTTTAGGCTGTCTCTAGTTAATGCCGAATGCGTGAGCTGTGGGCCGTGCCGCATTTGATGGCTTGGATAGCAGCCTCGTCGGCAGCCTTCCAACCTTCCAGCTTCTGCTCCTTCTGGTATATATTCTGGATCCTCCTTTTGGTTTTGGCTTCAGAGCAGAGCGGAAATGCAATTAACACTTTGGGCCGTAATTGCGTGCCAAATGCATTTCGTTGGCTCTGTTGGCAGTCCACATTGGCATTGCTGGTTTGGTCAAGGAGGAGGAGCAAAACAGGAATATATATGCTCCTACTAGCAGTCTTGTTTTGATTTGCTTGGCTCATTTGCAAGAAATGTGCCCATAAATCAATTTGCAAATGCTCCTTGACTACTACTGTCCGCTTTGAAATTCTACTCTGTAGAGCACCTTTCTCCTGTCTTTTAGGCATTGGATTTGGGGGAGGTGGCCGTTGGCTGCTTTGGATGCTTCAAAGGTTCTGAAAAGGAGTTACATTTTTGGGGAGTTTAAGAGGGTATTGTTAGGAATGTTGGGTATTAGTTCGGGTTAAAGATTTAAGTCTTTAAAGTTTATGTATAGCAAATTCTGGATTTCATCTTTTGTTTACAATTTTTGAAGATTTATTGGTTAATCCACAGTGAGATTTCTTGGTTTTTTGGTCATCAAAAATTAAAGAAAATTCTAGAAATTCATTACCAGACATTGCCTTAAATATTTCCTATTGAATTGCATTTTAAAAATATGATAAATGAGATTTAATAAGATATTTACAAAAGACTTTCTTTGGGCTAAATTATTTTTAAGATCAAAGATGAAAGATTCCAACATTTAATTCTTAATTTAATTCCCTCCTCAACCATATAATTTCTCTTTCATTTTGTGTTCTACGAACCATAAATTGGCTCCTTAACTTGTTTTATTCTCGTCCAATTATCCGCGATTTCCACACAAATGCCTACCAATTTGGTGATTCCTGGTGGGAAACCGTCTGACCGCAGCAGCAGCAGCATTTCCTGTATTTTTAATTCCGTTTCTCCCACATTAAATGCGCGCCTTAACTTTGTTTTTCATTTAAGTGAAATTAATTGAGTAATTTGATGCGAAATGTTTGCGACACGCAGAGAGAAAAGCTGAAAAATGATGGATGAAAAGAAGGGGAGAGGAGAGGACTGAAAACAATTCTATAAAACAAGTCTGAAAAGGGGCGGTGGGCAGATAGGGAAGTGCGGCAGATGCAGATTATAAAATGCCTGCCGGCCAGAGCAGTTCAACCGGACTGTAAAAAAAAAAAAAGGAGACCAGGCCAGGCCAGGCCAGGCAACAAAATTTAATATAAAGCATATTAACTTTGATGGCAAATGACCGTGGGGCGAATCAAGGGGCAGCAGGAGGAGTATAAGTGGGGGCGGTCTTCGTCGAAGAGGGCCCAAGGGGGGTGGGAGTGAGTGACCATTCTGGGCCCAGTCCAACAACACATGTTTGATGATGATGCGCGCTTTTGAAGTCGCTGGCAGTTAGGCCCAACGTGGGTTCCAACCAAGCTGACAACCGTTTAAAAAGGTTTTATTTACACCGTAGACAGCGGCCAAAGTGGGATGGCAATAGTCTCTTTTAGAGAGACAGAGAAAGAGAGAGACAGGTAGCAAAAGAATCGGTCTTGGCCTGGTCCAATGTGCAGCGCAATTAAGTTGCCAACAACTTTGAAATTATGCAATTATGGGTATGAGAAATTGCCTGGAAATTACACGAGGGACTTGACGAACAGCAGCAGCAGCAGCAGCCAAGAAGAACAAGAGCACTGAGAGAAAAGTGTTGAAGAAATTAATGTTAAAACTTAAAAAACTAAAGCTATAAGATGATAGATAAAAAAGCTTGAGATGAAAAAACCTTGAGAGGTTTTCCAAGAGAAAAGCTTGATTCTGTATCCTCTTTATTAGCTAAACTTATCAAGTTTTTCTCTCACTGCAGTTACCAGCTAAAGTGGAGCTTAAAACAGTTCAAGTGGAGCCCGGCTCCCAAGTCAGAGCCTACTTGATTATTTATTAAAACGAAAGTTAAACAGCGAAAGGAAGCAATTTTCCATATAAAAGAAGCTCAGTTCGCTGCTGAGGAAGCCCGTTGATTCGCCATTCGGGCGATGTGTCTATGCAAGTTTTGGTTCCCCCTCCTGCCACTCCTCTCCCCCTCTCCCCCTCTCCGAAGCGTAATTGCCATGTTTAAAGTGTGATTAATTTGTAATCATCAAAAAGGCAAAAACAGCCATGTAGAGAAGAGCTCTGAAGCTATGTATGTAGAAGAAGAAGAACAAGAAGAAGAAGCTCGGCAAATGTTTGCATTTTAAGTTGCCGGGCAGAAAGCCAGAATAACGAAACGAAACCCAACGAAGTCAAAGTAAAAGCCAAGAAATAAGACAGGAATCGCCTTAGGATGAAAAAAGAAAGGCGGTTAGTGGAGAGGGGGCGTGTCGGGCAAGAGGAAGACAAAGAAGTGAGGGACAACAGCGTGTTCTCTAAGTAATTGAGTTTGCTCGCCGAGGCGTTGAAAGTGGCCAAGAATCTGGGCAATCGAAGGGGAGGGGATGTAAGGATAATGAGCAAGCAAAGCTATATATGCATAATGTTCGGCTACATCATGATATGTTAGAGAATCGTGATTAGCCAAAAGAAAAGTTGGGGAAATTATTATCTTTAGAAATTTTCCACTTAAACGGTTGGCAGTTCTATTACGACTTTGGGTAGTCTGGATTTTTGAGGAAAAAGGAATAATAATGAAACCTTATAATACATATTTTTTGGAGAAATATTCATGAACTTATTGAACTTATTGTTTGAAATTTGAAACAAAAGCCATCCATCAAACTATCCAACACTTTTACCTTACCAATTCCAACCATGCCAATCATGACCATGCCAAGAAAATTAAACACATTAAGATCAAACATTCTTTATCAATCGTTTATCGAGCAACAATCATAGATTGTGGTCCATGGCATTGCCAATTTCATTAGCTGACAACTTTATTAGCACCTAGCAGATAGCAAAGATGATAGTTTTGGCCAAGACAACAGCAGTAAACATGATTCTCAGCTGGCCAAGTCTAATTACAGACACTGGCTGGTTCGAATGCATCCACAAGATACGCGTACGCGTACGAGCCGTAAAAGCCAATCGGGAAAGAATTGCCATTAATTAAGCCAAAGTATAAATCTCGCATTGCTGGAAAAGCCGAAAACCAAACAAAGCAGGAAGCTGCCAAAGTCATTCGCATGGACCGCCTGCCGCGCATGCGCATATCAGAATGGCCAGCACTGTTAGCTTTTTATTATACAAAAAAAAAAACATAGCCAGGAGAAAGGCTTACCTAATTAATTTGCTAAAATTTAACAACATTTAATCAGTTTTTGTTATAAAATTAAAAGTTATTTTACCATTAACATCTGGTTTTTAAGGGTCAATAAAATTAACAAATCCTTAAAAAGATTTTCATTAACTTTTTTGTGTTAACTTAATTACTGAGCCTTAAGCAGGATCGTATATATTTTAAATTACTTATAAATTTTATTTTCTTTTAAAAAAAAAACACGTTAAAAAAAGTCGAAAAGCTTCAATCTATGACCTCCTAAAAATAGCCAACTGCCGATTTTCAACAACACTGATAGCCTTCCATCAGACACGATGGGTAGGAACTGGAAGAAGCAGGAGGCTTGACTGCAGAGACCCGTCCACTCCGACATTCCAAATAATTACAAGCTATAAAAATTTATGAGCGCCAGGGATTTTCTTTTGCCACCACATAGAAGGCGAATGCGTGTGTGCGCCTCGGGCACTGGCCAAAAGAAGTACGTATCTACGTATCGCTCAGATACAATACAGCTCAACCATAAAACAGTCGCCTCAATTGCAGCCTAGCTACCGGTTCCTCCGCCTCCGGTTTTGGCTAGCCTTTTGTTCTGGTTTCGTGCATTGATTGAAAATTAAGTTGTGTGCCGTTTGGGTGGCGCACACCTCAGTCTCTCACTCGATCCATCCATCATTCAATCATCCTGTCACAGAAAGTGTTAAAATTCAATAAAAAAAAATTAATTATAACGGAAAAAGTTTTTATATAAACACTTTTATTGTATAATTTAAGAACATAACTAACGGAAAAGTTTTTATATTGACACTTTTATTGTTTAAATTAAGAAGCTAACCGGGAGTTAGCAATGTTATATTAAGAACCTAATATTGTACAGCTGCGTTGCTCAAATTCGTCCTACGGCACTTACAATACTAACACAAATACAAAGAAGCGTGCACATATTCAGTGACACTTTCGTGTTGGTTTGCAACTGTGCACTGAGAGAGAGAGAAAAGCGTTTCTGTTTTGCTAACCAATTCATCACTCATTTTACTGATCCGCCAAAATTTCAATTATATACTCACGTCGATGGTCCACTGCGAAATAAACACCAAAGTGCAAACAGAAGTAATAAAGCGGAGGTGCCAAAATTCGACTTACGGCGGAGCATTTACTAACACAAAGACAAGAAAGCATTCACATATTTAGTGACGCTTTTGTGTTGGTTTCCAACTGTGCACTGAGAGAAAGAGAAACAGTTTTTAAATTCCCCTGCAAAATAATTCCAAAGCAGAAACAGAAGTCATAAGGAATGAGTTCCAGTGCAAGTGCTAAAGGATGATACAGGAAGAAACAAGAACAAAATATATTACAGTTAGCGACGGAATGAGGCGGAAGAAGAAAACGAAAAATTTGCAGTGAAATAGCACCGAAAGCAAGTCCATATGCAGCCTCAGAATTTACAAAAACAAATAAGCACTCAGAGCTTAGGCGTAGAGCACCCCTGTTATAGAGCCTTAACTGGTCTTTAATAAAAATCATTTCCCAACGCCCTAAAAATATTTTTCAAGAAACATTTACTTCTTACTTTCCCCTTCAAATATTAATTTCCTCTTCAAATATATTTCGAATTCAAAGCCCCCTTAAATTATGGTTAACACCATAGATTATCCATCTTTCCCTTCATTGTCACCTTGCATGTGCGACCGACCACATTTGACCCTCTTTCATAGTTTATTGATTTGAGCTTCCCAGTTGACCGTCGGTCAGGGCACACATTCAATTTGAATCGTTGTCATATGAAGTCAACGCAATAACTTCTCCCAACTCAATGCCCAATTCGCAGCCTGAACCAGGTCCTCAAGTGATGGCTACATCATGCTCTTCCACTTGATTTACGTCTAACTGTAATCGAATAATATATCAGGCAAAAGGCTAGTGCCCATGTATGTAGCTCCCAGCCAGGTAGCTCCAACTAACTCAGCCACAAAAACCAATCCAGTCTGCGGATGCCTCTTCATTCGTCCCTTTCATCGGGGTGCACTCAGAGAAAATGCAGTAAAATATTTAAGAAAATGTAGAAATTTACATAGCTTAGTATTAGAAAAATTGTTAAACATTTTCGTAGACAATATCTATCTCTGTAACTAATCAAAGTTCAACTTGATTTTTTTTAAGTGTCCTGATTTGAGTCTCTGCTCTAGGCCAGACTATCTCCTCCACTAAATCCTCACACGGGGAAACTTAACGGCACGACAACCTTAGTCAAAAGCTCAGGCATAAAATCAATTACATTGACAAATGAGCAGCTGACAAGCCGGGGTATGGGTGATGGAAGCTGGGGGCTAGAGGATGGCTGCGGGGAGGGACCATGTGTCAAAGCGTCCCAAAAGCGCCGTATGCCCCGAGGCCAATGGATGCTACGCGGTCTGACCAGGTGAACGTGGGGACAGTGGGTTAGATATGGGGAATAAATGTAAGAAATTCCCATGATTTTGTATTTGATATTATTTCTTAGAAGAATATTTAACATTAACTTACGCAGATTGCATTAGCTTACCACCAAATAGTAACTTTCCGATGATTATGGAGATTCCTGAGCCCAATTAGTCCCACTGTCTTACAGTGGCTATGCCAAACTCCATGCTAAACAAGTAATCTGGATGTAGTTTTGGCGAACGCGGCACATTCACATTTGCCTGTCTCCGTTTCTCTGAGGAGAAGCCAACCCCCCAACTATATCCCCCTTTAGAAACCAACCTACGTTGGTCGTCCCCCAAACCCATTCTCGACCCATGAATTATGTGACTTATTAAAACGTCATTCGAGCTGACAAGTTGCCTTTGCCACTGTCGTTTGTCCACATGGCCTCAGATTACCTGGTATACCCCAAAGCCCCTCCCTCTCATCCATGGATGAGCAGGAAACTTCTAATTGTTATATACTGTCCATCCGTCTTGGCCATGTCGATGGTTCTAACTATGTTTGTGTGTGTGTGTGCGTGTGTCTGTGGGCCTTTTGTTTATGCTCCTCAGTATCCATAGTAATCAATGAGCTGCTGCTGTCAGACTCACCGGCTTCATCAATTTGCATTTATAATTTTCAGACTGATTGACTTTTGGGGTTTCGCCTCTGTCGTTGCTGTTTGCACAAAATGGATAACTCTGTGATTACAGGACAGGTTGCAGGTTGTAGTGGAAGTGCCGCAGTAATCCTATTTGTTTGAGTTAAGAAGGTGAACTGAAAGGTGGAGTGATTAGGATAAAACTACAAATCACTTTTTGGGATTTAAATCAAATATTTCTATTAAATACAAATAGGTTAGAAAAAGGTTTAGTTTAACCTTTCATTCTGTCTGTCTGCCAAGGTTTCTGCTTAATGAGTAAGTTTTTTGATGCTACTTTTGCCCAAATAACTTTAATTAATTTTTTTATAATCCAACGCCTCATTCCTTCCTATCAAGATCGAATTTCCTACACATGTTTCAATTACAATGCCAATCTTCTTTGAGGCGACAAATGTAACACATCATAAACCAAAAAAACACCTCACTTTCACTTTGCCACAACACCAAGCTCCCGGTTTTATGTTCTCATTCATTCTGTGGCAGCATTATGTGAGGGTGGGGGGCAGCTTATGAGGGATGCTGCTGGTGAATGCATTAATTAAATTTAATTAAAATGTGTCAACTGAGCTTGTCATAACAAATTCGCCTCACATTTGAATTACACCCCACCACGTTCCGTAGTCTCTCTTTTTTTTTGCAGCCTCAGATCCTGCGACAACAGGAACGTTGTCAACAGCAACAAAATGGCTCATTAAAAACTTTTATGCTGATGAGATGGCGAAGGCTATAAAAACTTGGCCAAGAACTGTGGCCACAGTATGTAGAGGTTCATCTGTACATATATGTGTGTTTGTTCGCTTAGTTAATTAGAGCCGTAATAATGCAGATACACACACGCTCTTTCTTTGAGGTAATTGAAGCTCACCTGGCTGCCTAAGTAGCACACGCACGCACATCCCATTCGCCCTCGTCTTTCCTAGCAATATTTTCATCAACTGTTGCTTCTTTATATCACCCTTAACGCCTAAGCCTTATACAAGTTTGGGGGGTATATTTCATCCTTAATGTAGGCGTGGAATGGTGTTCATACGTGCCATAAACAGTTACTTTTCGCACCTGACTTGATTTCAAAGGTGCAAAAGTCACGGGTTTTTGGGATAGATTGGAAATATGAGGGGGAATAAGGATGATGAATGGCTGCCTGATGTGCTCTTAGAAAATCAATCAGAATTTCCATATAAATCTTGTTGTTAAGAGTAAATTGCATAGCCTTTAAACTATATATAGTTTCTGATAAATAACACCCCCTTCTAGCTAATCGCTCTTGGAATAGTGAGTGAGAGCGCAAACCCAATCAACGTTAAGATGAAGCTCATTTAATCGTGACTTTCTGCATTCCTGCCACAGACTGTTGCATACTTTCTCTCATAACCCATAACCCAATCACCCTATAACCCCCCATTGCCACAGGATAACATCTATCCTCACCCCGCCATCCACCTACAGCATGACATCCTTTTGGATAAACCTGCAACGGCACAAAAACACCCGTGGGTGTCGTTAATTGAAATTATTATACTTGTCTGTGGTATCATAAATGCGACTCGTTAAATTTGTATGTATGACACTCCATAGTCGGGCGTGCATAATGCGTGAGTGGGTTTGTATATGTATGTATATATATGTAGGGATATATATCCGAGATATATGCAGCCTCATATCCTGCTCATTTTGCTCGTCCCCCGATGTTTCGGGGCTCTATGGAGTGTATGGAGTGTCTCTTATTTGCATGGCGTCGTCATCGCTTCAGCGACAAAATGGAAATTTGTTGCCGCATTGCTCATGGCGTTGCCACGCCCCCACTTCCACCTTCAACCATGCTCATGCCAATAGCACCACCTCCCTAGGCACCCGCTTTAAGGACAACCGCCCCCCTCCCCGTTTGGGCCAACCATGTGTGTGCGGCCGTTGTTGCTGTTTTAATGTGTCAAGTGTTTTATTTGCGCGTGTTACCTACTTTGATTTTATTTCCACGCTCGCCAGGGAAACTGCACTGAGAGAAATGTTTATATACTACAAATTATACAGTGCTAATGATGTAGGAACAACAAACGGCTAATAGATATTTATTATCAGGAACCTATGGGATGGAACAGGGATGGCACAGCTTAGAGGTAAGGAAAAGGTTAAGCTAGGCTTTGCAACTTAGGCCTTCGGATTGCTTAGCCAAGATATTGGATAAATGAAGGTAAAATATTTTATAAATTTTTAAGTAATATTAATAAATAAGTATTTAAACAAACTTAAAATTGGTTAAAGTTCAAAATTATTAAAAATGATATGGTTTTTCCAAGATTACATAGGTCTTTGTAAGAAAGCGAATGAAAAGGAATCCAGTTTGAAAAGGATTGCTATCTTTAAGGCAACTCTTAAGACTTTCTCCAAGTGCACATCCCATCTTCTCCCAAAAAAATACACCCCCTCCCTTACCCTCTACAACCAACCATTCGTATGGGTGAGTGGATAGGTGGTGCTAGGGCATTCCACTCGTGTATACCTCACTTGCTTTTATGTTTAATTCATGCGCAAATTGTCGCGGAAATCTGACGTCAAGTGTATTAAACGCCATGCTCTGCTTTTGATTTATGGACCCAGTTGGTGCCACCACCACTGCCACTGAGAGCGGGGGTGGCAGGGGAGGCAATCGAGAATCGGGATGAGGATCTGAACGTGGATGAAGGGTGTTGCCACCGCGTAGCTGGCCGTCAATTCCAATAGCGAAATGAAATTGTTGCTAATTTATGAGCGAATGTAGCCATGGCCCTGGTCCCAGACCCTGTCGCGGTCCAAAAAATTCTTTGGATGCTTAATGAGCTGCGACAGTTGGGACAATTTCAAATTCCACATTTAAAGTTGAACTGGCAAAGGGATTAAGCGGATGGAAACCTATAAATTGTGGATCAATGGACGAATAATTAAGGTCTATTGAAACTTGGCTTCTGGAAGGTGTTAAATATATTGAACTTTAAGAGTAGCAGCTACTAAGGGGGTGTAGTATTGAATATTAAACAGAGAAATGCTACAAGTCGTAAATTATTCATAGACAAATGAAGTTTAAGGATTCCGTACGTACTTCCTAACTTCATTTCCTCTTCTATTTAACAAAACAACACCAAAAATTGTATAAAATTGTATTTAAAATGCTAGAATATTCCTTATATTTTCTCCACCTACTGCAGGTGTGCTCAAATTCGCCTTAAGACAGAGCATTTACTAACACAAATAGAAAGCAGCGTGCACATATTCAGTGACACTTTCGTGTTGGTTTGCAACTGTGCACTGAGAGAGAGAGAGAGAAAAACGTTTCTGTTTTGCTAACCAATTTATCACTCACCGCCAAAATTTCAATTATATACTCACGTCGATGGTCCACTGCGAAATAAACACCAAAGTGCAAACAGAAGTAATAAAGCGGAGGTGCCAAAATTCGACTTAAGGCGGAGAATTTACTAACACAAAGACATGAAAGCATTCACATATTTAGTGACGCTTTTGTGTTGGATTCCAACTATGCACTGAGAGAAAGAGAAACAGTTTTTAAAGTCCCCTGCGAAATGAATTCCAAAGCAGATACAGAAGTCATAAGGAATGAGTTCCAGTGCAAGTGCTCGAGGATGACACAGGAAGAAACAAGAACAAAATATATTACAGTTAGCGACGGAATGAGGCGGAAAGAAGAAAACGGAAAATTTGTAGGGGAATAGCACCGAAAGCAAGTCCATCTGCAGCCTCAGAATTTACAAACAGAAATGAGTACTCAGAGCTTAGGCGTAGAGCACCCCTGACCCAATGGAATATTAACAATAGTACACTTTTAATTTCATTAATTCAATTCCTTAGACATAAAAATCCCTATTACTACCACTAATTTTCGTAAATTATAAACGGATGCAGTTTATCATTAAGATATTATCTACATTCTTGCTGCCTCATTGCTCTTCATTACGTAATGCGGTTTTTCCAAGAGGAACAATATCAATTGGGCCCCAATCTACTAACCATTACGGCAACCATTCATCAACTCCTTGTGGCCAATGGCCAATCATCCGTGGAAGGATACTTAAGTTGCCCATTTGAAATCAATTAACGCGACAATTTGGGCGAACACACCCCGAACACGACAAACGCTAATTATCCAACTGGCCAAACGAGCCGCTGAAGAATCTCGTAGATTGATATCTGGTGTGCCACCGATAGTGGAAAGTGTGGCTATTGCCGAGGGCTTCGGTGCTAATGGAACTGTAATTATGTGTCAATTATAAATGGATCAATCAAGACGAGGAATATGTGTGCCGTTCTTTATCATTTTTAAATAAGAGTTTTACAGGTACAAAATTTTAGAAAAAATTTAATTGAAAGCAATATTCAACCATTAGAATATCGTATTCTATCCATACACTTTGACTTTCCAAGGGTTTTTATCTATTAAAAATCAATCAACATCTAGCGAATTAATTGACGATCCTGCCACTTTGTCTTCCTTGTCTGCATATCAAGTTGCTGTCGCCGCGAACCCGACGCTTTCGAATGCCATGGATGGCTGGCAAGATGCTGCATCCCAGATAACTGGTTACAGTCCAGCGGTCTTTTAGCCAGAGTCATCTGGCGACCATCCTCAAGCCAGCCAGGTGGGCTCGAGATCGATGCCAAGTCAGGAAGCCAAAGCGCGAGCTCAACTAGCGGAAATCACTTGGGAATCGAAGAGGAAGAGGAGCTGTGTTGGCAACTTTTCTAATGTTTTTTAGCTATAGCTTAGTTTTTTTTTTTAAATATTTTACAGATATATTTTTAGCTATATTCTATAGTCTAACATCACTGCTGAGAAGACTGATCATTATGCATAGAAACGCTGAGCTGAAGAACTGTTCCTTGTTGTTGTCTTCTCTCACTGATTACATAAACGCTGACAGAGTCGGCTGTAGTCTGGTGTAGACCGTTTTAATTGCCGCAAATTAAACTATCATTAAAATATGTAGAAAAATCTCATGGTATATCCTCCCCAGCCAACCCACTTTTACCTCTCAGCCGCATCATAGCAATATCAATTTCGCATTAAATATTAAATCACAGCCCAGTGTAAGCGACAACAAAATGGAAAAAAA